CCGATCACCCAAGAGAATGGGTTCGCTTTCAAGGCCGAGGATGTGTTGGCGCGCATCACACCGGCGACCCGTATGATCATCGTCAACTCACCGGCCAACCCAACCGGCGGCGTGACGCCAAAGGCCGAAATCGATGCACTGGTGAAGGGGCTGGAAGCGCACCCCGATGTCGCGGTCCTGTCCGATGAAATCTATGAGCGGATGACGTATGACGCCAACGGCCCAGCCGACAATCATGTCTCTCTGCTCACCTATCCATCGATCCGCGACCGGCTGATTCTCTTGAACGGCTGGTCGAAAACCTGGGCAATGACAGGCTGGCGCATGGGCTGGTCGATCTGGCCTGATGGCCTTTACGACAACGCCCGCAAGCTCGCCGTCAACTGTTGGTCCTGCGTCAACGCCCCGGCCCAATGGGCAGGCCTCGCCGCCCTAGACGGCCCACAAGATGCGGTCGATGACATGATGACCGCCTTCGCTGCCCGTCGCCGCCTGGTGGTGGACGGCCTAAATGCTCTGCCCAACGTTTCTTGCATTGAACCCGAAGGCGCGTTCTACGCCTTCCCGGATATCTCCAAAACGGGATGGCAAGCGAAGAAACTGGCCAACGCACTGCTTGATGAAACCGGCGTTGCCCTCATCGGCGGACCGGATTTTGGCACCCTTGGTGAAGGCTTCATCCGAGTCTCCTACGCGGCATCGGCTGAGCAGATCGAAGAGGCGCTGGGGCGGATGAAGAGCTTTTTGAAAACTTAGGTCTTGACCTAAGTTTTGATTTGTCATTAGTTAGGCATATGCCTAACAATCTCGATCTTACCTTCAAGACACTGGCCGATCCAACGCGTCGAGCCGTGCTCGCCCGGCTGACCAGCGGGCCCGCACCGGTGAAGGATCTCGCCGCGCCCTTTGACATGGCCCTACCCTCCTTCATGCAGCATGTGCGCCTGCTCGAAGAGGCCGGTTTGGTAACCACCGAAAAACAAGGCCGCACCCGTATGTGTGCACTCAAACCTGACGCCCTGGCAGACGTGGAAGACTGGCTGACCGAGCAACGCAACGCCTGGAACGCGCGTCTGGACCGCCTCGACGCCTTCCTTGAACAGGATGAAACCCCATGACCCACGATGAAAAGCTTGATCTCATACTCACCCGCGACCTTAAAGCTCCGCGCGCCAAGCTGTGGCGTGCCTGGACTGAACCTGAATTGCTCCAGCAATGGTGGGCACCAAAGCCCTGGCAGACCGAGGTGGTCGCCTTGGATGCACGGCCAATGGGAGCTTTTCACCTGGTCATGAAAGGCCCTGAAGGCGAGGAATTTTCCTCGCCAGGTAGTTTTCTTCATATCGAGCGTGAGCGTACACTTGTCTGGACATCAGCGCTGGAGAGCGGCTGGCGGCCGGTGGCTGAGCCAGGCTTCCCGATGACCGTGACCATCAGTATGCACGATCACGACGGC